ACATCCACACGGGAAAAATGGACACTACTAAGAATACATGCTTCAAATTGCCTCCTTAAGCCTTGTACACATTAGATGCACTCGTGAGCGCAAAGGATATTTTCAGAACCAACATTAACAATGCAATCCTAAGCAGAATTATACCCTTCTAAACCCACTAAACTCAAGGGCATTGGAAGGGGGTACAACTCATCTCAGGACAGCACTTTTGGATCCTTTCGAATCTATCTGAAAGTGCACCGCTTGGGTGCACTGATTCAAATGGAGTGCACACTCTGTCCCTGTAGCGTTTTGTTCAACTGACAGCTTGGAGGAAGATGAAAAATGAACCAAGTTCCTATTGTACATTGCTGTAACTGGTCATGCTCGTATATGACAAGTTCATCTAAGCTTTAAAAGCTAACAAAACAAAGATGTTAATGGCTCCCAATACTTTAGTCTTACGGACCTGCTTCCCCTCAGACAGGACAAATTTACTGATCAGCGCAAGCTGTGCTTTGGAATCCTTATTTTAAATAAGAAATCAGTGGAAAATTCTCACTCACTGCAAGGGAATTCAGGCTTCACGCTGAGCCAACACTCTTGGACTAGGGTTGCCAACTTCCAGGCAGTCTCCCACGCTTACAACTGATCTCTGGACTGCAGAGGTCAGTCCCCTTGGAGAAAATGGGGACTTCTGAAGAGACACTCTGTGGAATCACTTCCCTGCTGAGCAACTTCTGTTCCCCAACTCTGCCCTCCACAGGCTCCACCCCCAAATCTCCAGGAACTTCCCAACCCAGAGTTGGCAACAGCTTGCACAGTCTCACAGCAAAGCTTCTTGTGAGTTGCGCCTCTTCAGAGATTGCCGTTTGGGGACTGCATACTCAAATACGGCCCCATGGCGGGGGGGAATAAACTCCTGTGTATATTCTTGTGTCAATGAGTTAAAACTCAGACTAAGTTTAAGGCCTGAAACAGACATGTAAGAGAATGAAACGGCAGAATGGATTGTACCACTTCAAGCTGCAGGTGGAGAATCACATTTTGGAATTTTCCTCCAGTTTTTGTGGCAGAAAAAAATTATTAAGCTAGCACAACTACCAAAGAGTTGGGATAGAACCTCTCTCCGATGTGCTAATTTTCTATTTGAATTGAACTTTTTTAAAATGCAAAGGAGTATGCGAAAATGTAACCCGCCACCTGAAACCTGAACTGGTGCATCCCACCACCTCAGCATTCTACCTGCTCCTGCATGGGAAATTTCGCCCAGCCTTCGTCTTCTGTCTGCAGGGCA